TGATAATTGCGAGTAGCCCGTCTGTTTCTTCTCTTTCTTTGGGCTTAATCCATATTGGTATTTCTAATCAACCCATTTTACAACAAGTGTATTTTAAATTAGGAAATTCGGCGATAAGACATTTTAATGAATAAAATTACATTTAGGTCCTTTTTCTCGTCCGCGGCCAGTTTTCCGGCGAAACTCATCAGTCGTTAGCACGGGGGCTTATCCTGTGTTTAATGCTGATTTAGCTCTCTGTTTTCTGACGTTGGCAGCCGGAATAATCTCTCTCTCTCTTTCTCATCTTCTTCCCCTCATTCTCAGATCCACAAAGAACCCTCTCCGACCGTCGCCGGCAAGCCAGCACGACCGCCTCCATAACCGCCATCACCCCTTCAAACAGCCCTCCAGCACCTCCTCCCTCGTCGCCCAGTCGGAGCCCTCGCCCTCCTGAACGACCCGCGACCGCCGCCGCCACCTGCACCCCTGACCGCCCAGCCCCCTCAACCACGCACTGCCTCCGCCTGATCTCCAGCTCGTCGCTTTCCAACTGCCGAAACCCCTGAGCTCCGCCCTCAACTCCTCCGGCGCCCCAAGCTCTCCCTCTCTCCTCCCACTACACCAGCCTCCCCTTGTTCAAGTTGTTCCTGATCCAACCTCCGTTCGTCGCCTCGTCGACCAAGGAAACCAACACGCTGCTCAGGAAGAACCCCAGCGCCAACGTCGTCAGAAACAGGCCCGTGCTCATCGACTTCATCCTCTCCGGTCCGGAGCCTCTCTGATGAAAAACTCCAGCTGCCCAACGTAAGCAAAGGCCTCGCCGGTGCCCACCAGGAAGTACTGAGGAACAAGCCAGAAACAGCTGATCTTTACGCCGCGCTCGACCTAAAACCGCCTCCTCTTGTTCTCAACGACCGCGGACGTAGCCATTGCCAGCATTCCGAACATGAGCCCAATGGCGACGCGCTGGAGGCTGGTCATGCCTTGAACGTTGTGCGTGAACTTGCGGGCGAAGGGGATGAGGAGTCTTACGTTGAGAGAAGTTATCAGGAGGATCGTGAGGAAGAGGAAGACGGAGAGCGAACCTGAGAATGAGGGGAAGAAGATGAGAAAGAGAGAGAGAGAGAGAAGAGAGAGAGAGAGTTCCCTGCCACGTCAGAAAACAGACCTAAATCAGCATCTTAAACACAGATTAATCCCCCACGTGCAACGCACGTGATGAGTTTTCGCCGGAAAAGTGGCCGCCGACGAGAAAAAGGACCTAAATGGTAATTTTATTCAATTAAAATGTCTTATCGCCGAATTTCCTAATTAAAATACCTTGTTGGAAAATGGGGTTGAATTAAAATACCAATATGGGTATTTAGCCCCTTCCTTTGTTACACGTATCGCTTATACATGCAAGACGTCACCTCCACATGGCCCCCTTATGACTGTATTTAGTCTTGATAAAATAATATAAGATCATTAAGAGTTCTTTAATTTACAAAACTGAACACTACTTTAATTAATAATTGGAACTTCCTTCATGTACGTATCTCTCTCTCTCTCTGCTTTTTTAGTTTTGAAATTGATTTTTTAAATATATTTTACATGTGAGGTTTATGTGTACACTCGCAGGGGTTGTTACATGAAGCTTTTCCAGTATTTTCCGAAAGGGTTTTTCCACGGACGTTGCAGGTACGGGGACCATAATTTGGAAAATCTGTTGTATTTTTAACACTAAATTAATTTCATGCTATTGATCCATGGCTTTTGTTTACAATTAAATATGTCAAGAATAAAATATGCACTTGTGGTTGCCACCGCTAGCTAGTCGTTTGTTTGATAAGTTTACAAATCGGATAAGGAGTTATTAACTTCTGAATTTTTTTTTATTTGTTACGGAAATGTTCAGTTGAATTTCCAAATATCCTTCAAATTACGGGACTTGCAATAAACTCCTTTAAATTCAATTTTTTGAAAGAAGTCGGTATTCTTTAATTTTTCATTCAACTAATTAGATTTGGGATTTCAGCAAAATCCTTTCAGGGATTTTTGAAAAAATTTAAGAATATTTGGAGGATCAATATCACAGGCAAAATAAAATAAAATTATATATATATATATATATATATATATAGAGAGAGAGAGAGAGAGAGAGAGAGAGAGAGGCAGGAGATCGAGAGAGAGAGAAATTTGACGTAACCTGATCCAAGTTTCGTACTCCTCGTTAAAGCAACTGGTGAGTGATGTGCCTAATCTTTGCCCCTACATCACACCTCGAAGATAGGCCTCAACGACCTTCACCAACTCCAATGTAGATGTTAGCGGACAAGATTAGCGCCCACACCTACCAAGTTTCTGGGCCATCAACTTTCTACCAAGTTTCTCCATTGTTTCTCATATATATATATATATATATTATATTATATATATATTATATATATTATATATATATTGAGAAAAATGCGAGAAACTTGGTACCAAGTTGCTTCAAGCCAATTCGGTAGTGAATCGTCGGCCCTAATCTTTGACCTACATCTACATATGGATCGCGTTGACGTGAAGGGTCGGTTGAGGCTCTATCTTCGAGGTGTGATGTAGGTCAAGATTTATGCCACATCACTACCAAGTTGCTTTTAAGCAACTTTGGTACCAAGCGTTCTCCATTTTCTCATATATATATATATATATATAAAATATATTTATATATATATTGAGAAAAATAGCATGAAACTGGTACCAACAAGTTGCTCTAAGCGGACTTGGTAGTGATGTGGTCTAATCTTTATCCCCTACATCTACATTGGATTGATACGCTGGTGAAAGGTGTTGAGGCCTCTATCTTCGACGAGTGTTCTTTGTAATGCTAGCGGACAAGATTATGCCACAATCACTTATCCAAGTTGCTTTAAACAATCTGCTTACAAGGTTCTCCATTTCCCCCCCCTCTCTCTCTCCTCTCTCCTCTCTCTCTCTCTCTCTCTCTATATATATATATATATATATTACGTATTATATATATATATATATTATATATATATACTATATACATTATATATAATAAAAAGGCTTCATATTTTATTAAATCGAGATGCTAGAGGCAGAATGGACAGCTATCTGCCAAAGTGGAAGTGTAGCGAACTTTGTGGCGACGATTGAGATCGCTTCAATCTACACTCCATCCACTCTCATAAATCATTTTCCTTGAAAATTTCACACACAATAGGAAGTAAGGGCAATATATTAAATAATATAAGCTGTTTGAGTACGCAAAGAGATCCCATATTCTAGTTCTATCGTTATTTCAATGCGTTGCCACCTCCTGAAATTTTTTCATATTATCTAATCATAGATACCCTTAACACGTGTCTTGCTCTTGCTAATTTGCCATTAATATATCATACTGAAATCTAAATTAAGATATCAGACGAGCGTCGAGTTTGCCCTTAACGTACTACGGGTTTCCATCGTCAAATTTTTTACTTGTATATATAGTACAGCACTACAGCTGAATGTCAAACGTCAATTGAGATATCTCCTGTTGATTTCAGGTTTTGAGTGCCATATGGGCATTTGAACTGTACGACCCTTTACAGCCAAAACCGAGTTAATAATCTAATATGAGAATTGTAAATTAACATCACTTGCCTTGGAACCACATTTATTTTCAGTTTGCCTTGTGAGAAAAAGCCAGTTTCATCCCTTGGAAGGTGAGATGTGATGACAAAAGAGTAGGTGGTGATATTTACAGCCAAGATGTTAACCTTAGCTTTTCCCTTCAATTTGATGGGTAAATTGCTTTAAACTTTTTGTGCTTGTTGCATCAGACATAAAAGCAACATCTTGCGTGCAGATGCAAAATCTATCTCCCACTGGTTTTCACTTTATAGTTATAGCACTTCTGCGCGCCAGGGCGATTATTTGATTACTGAAGTGCTTAATTTGCGTTATCAGGGCTAAGAGCTCATGCATGCTGTCTAGATGAAGAGTTTATTAATCTTGTGAATTTTCACTTTGTGAAGTCCACTACCATCTTCTCACGAAAAATTTATATGCTAATAAGTTTATGTACCATAATTGATAACGCCACGCTATCGAGGTATGTAGATTTTAAGAATTTGAAAGAATAACCATTACTTCCACTGTTGGAAGGATCAAATTCATTGTCCACCTTCTCTTGAGAAGTACAGGTATCTTACTTAGGAGATACTACCACCTTAGCATATGAAAAGCTTTTCTTGCGAGCAATGCGTACGGCTGCACCATCTCTACAACATTCCTTCACTTGAATCTCTTCACTTCTACACTTGCACTTTAAGAGAGACATCCTTCAAGCATTGACTAGCTTACAAGCCATTTCTCCAAAATATTAATTTAATTCAAAAAAAAAAAAATTAAGACTTGCTTCTCATTCCATCTCATACTATAAAGTTTGAAGTTTCATCCTTCATTAAACACTATAAAAAGACTCATAAAATCCATGACCGTAGTCAATAACAATAAACTGAAGCACCATGGATATCAAAGGAATAGGAATCATCAATTTCTTCAACCCTTTGCTTCTTCTAATGTTCTTTGTCGTCTCTATTTGTGCCAATATTGAGATGCTTGATGACATTGATTATCGGTAGTCTTCATTTTTTTTCCTTTCTATGTGCATATTTGGCAGTGTATTAATCTTTTAAGTTTTTTTCTGCTACATATGAAGCTATGAATTGGATGATGGAGAATGGGAGATGGTAGAGAGAAAAGGGAACCAATTTATGATTGGAGGCCAACCATTCTATGTTAATGGATTCAATACCTACTGGTTGATGATGTTAGCCGTCGATCAATCTACAAGAGGAAAGGTTACAGATGTTTTTCAGCAAGCTTCATCAGTTGGTCTCAGTGTGTGCAGAACTTGGGCTTTCAATGATGGCCAATGGAGAGCACTTCAGAAATCTCCTTCAGTCTATGATGAAGATGTTTTCAAGGTAACAGTACTGTTTGTTTAAACAAATCACTAACAAACATCTTATGTGATGTTTAGATATTTTGTCTCTTAATGAAATGTAAGTAATGCTAACTTATGTAGAAGGTGGTAGGGACTACTAGTGTACGACATGCAGTAGTTGATAATTACGCAGAACCTACAGCTAAAAATTTATTGTGAAAAATAAGACTAAACAGAAGGGTTTGCTAACTGTGAACAGTTCATCTCTTTCACATAGAAATCTAAATAATCTCTAGATGTCATTAACATTAAAGAACAGACGAAATACAGGCAAATTATTAACATCAAAGACTGATGTGGGGTATAACTACGTATTCTTCTAAAGGTTAATAACAAGTTACTTCTGAAAAATCTATGGTATTCATTTTAGGCTAAATAGCTCTTATATACCCTATTGTTTCACATACTTCTCACTTACATATCCCAACTAGTATTTGGTAGCAAAAGAAATACCTTAAAGCTTTTCAAACTTGCAATTATATACCCTCACCTTTTCTAGTGGCACTTAAATACCCTAAATCTTTAATTTAAAAACTATACCTTATTTAAGTGTTTAAATTTGGCACTTAAATACCCTAAAGTTTTAAAACTTGCACTTAAATACCCTCAAGTTTGCATAACCAAGTGTATTTATGTGCAATTTTTAAAAACTTTAGGGTATTTAAGCGTCAGATTTAAAAATTGCATGGTATTTTAAGTGTTTAAATTTGGCACTTAAATACCCTAAAGTTTTTAAAACTTGCACTTCAATACCCACAAGTTTGCATAACTGAGGGTATTTATGTGCAAGTTTTAAAAATTTTAGGGTATTTAAGTGTTGGATTTAAAAATTGTATTTAAGTGCCAAATTTAAGAACTTTAGGGTATATAAGTGCTAAAAAAACAAGTGAATGTATATAAGTGCAAGTATACAAAACTTTAGCGTATTTTCTCGCTACCAAATACAAGTGGGGTATATAAGTGAAAAGTAGATGAAACAATAGGGCTGCTATTTAGCCTTCATTTAACACAAAAGTTGACATCTTATTCTTTATGATGCATAAATGTTACATGTAGGTAAATTTGGTAATTCCTATAAGAGATGTATGGATTCATTTTAAACTGCAGGCTCTAGATTTTGTTGTGAATGAAGCAAGGAAGCACAAAATCAGACTCATACTCTCACTGACCAACAACTGGGAAGCTTATGGAGGGAAAGCTCAGTATGTGAAATGGGGAAAAGCTGCTGGACTAAATCTTACTTCTGATGATGATTTCTTCACTGATCCTACCATCAAAGGCTATTACAAAACTCATGTCAAAGTAACCTTGCACAATTCAAATGCAATATACATTTTTACTATTTAATTAAAGTTGAAATGTCTCATGCTTGAGCTTGTTTCTTTGAGCCTGCAGACAGTTCTCAACAGAGTCAATACCTTTACAAACATTTCATACAAGGACGATCCTACCATTTTCGGGTGGGAGTTGATGAATGAGCCCCGATGCCTCTCAGATCCCTCTGGAGATAAATTACAGGTAATCTAACCATAATTTATGTTAATGTTTTAGTTTCTTTCACAGAAAATCAGGTGGAATCAAATTTATAGAATAGATCAATTAACTTGAAGATTTGCGCATATTGATTATCTTCCATGGTATCATAGCCAGCCAGCACATGCATATCGTAATATCCTCCTTTAAAAGTGGCATCTTGTGCGCAATAATTCTTGATTTTGAAGGAAAATAACAAATATTTAATCATTTACCTCCTAGAAGTGAATGGTACTAATAAATTTCCCAAGTGTATGTCTAATATTGTTTACCTCATTTTCAGACATGGATACAAGAGATGGCATTTTATGTAAAATCTATCGATCTGAAACACCTCCTAGGTACCGGAGTTGAAGGATTTTATGGTCCCTCAACACAAGACCGGATTCAATTCAATCCCAACACATTTGCAGGACAAGTAGGAACTGATTTCATCAAGAACCATCAAGTTTTAGGCATCGATTACGCTTCTGCTCACATCTATCCTGATGCATGGTAAGTTTTCATATTATACATACTCGTGATATTTAAATGAATTATTAAATCTGTCCTTATCCTTCATTAGGCTATCAAACACGATATCTCAAGCCCACATTCAGTTTGTGAGATCCTGGATGCAAAGCCACATAGACGATGCTGAGAATGTGCTAAACATGCCAGTTGTTTTCGGAGAATTTGGTGTCTCAGCAAAAGATGGCAACTATAACCAAACATATAGAGATATGTTCATTGGTATGGTTTATAACACTATGTTGAATTCTACAAAAAGAGGAGGGAGTGGAGGAGGTTGCCTTTTATGGCAACTTTTTCCCCAGGGAACGGAGTATATGGATGATGGGTACTCTATAGTTCTTAGTAAAACTCCAACGACAGCAAACATTTTATCGTTGCAATCAAGAAGGCTTCAGCTTTTCAATTCTAGGTGCACTTGGAGATGCCATTGGGGATGCAAGAAGAAGAGTGACTTGGATTTAGTGTTTCCTCTTGATGATACAATGTGAACATGTTCCTTCAAAGTTTACATAGAAACTATGTACATAACGTTATACACAAACATACAAGTATAGTCATGAAATAATGTATATAAGTTTGAGCTTTCCGTTTGTTGTTTATTATGGAATACAGAAGCAATACTTGATGATAGCATCTCCTCACTTGATGATATAAGATGCAAACATGTCCTTTCGAAGTTTAAGAATTAGAAACTATGAGCAAAACATCATGAACAAACATATAAGCATAGCCATGAGCATTTATATAGTTATTGTGGAATACAGTGGAAATACTTGTATAAGCATAGCATGATATGGATGTGATACTGCATGATTACATGATAATGTAGGAGATGGAAAGCCAAGCTAGGAAAGCTAGAGCACATGTTGATGTCATGCTCACTTGAATCATTCTACCGCTGCTTGTATAGTCCAGTGCTTTTCCTGTGAATCCTGCAACAATAAAATGCTCATAAATACACTTATGAGCTCTTGAACTAGATGATTTTGTTTTTTATTTATATCATTGAAATTGTACCTGAGGAGCACCCTTGAGTTATTGTGTAGTTGATGTCCTTAACTGTTTCCTTGTTCTCAAACTTGAAATCCCCCCTCATCACATCATCAAGGCATTGGAGAACATAGGCTGTGTCATTTGCACATCCACCCTTGCAATAATCCTCTGTGTCGGCCAATGTTACATTCACCCACCCAGCTTGTGTTAACTGGTATTTATCTGAACATCTAGCTGAGTTCTGCAAAATACCCAAAAAACAAAACACATCAAAGTCTTCTCTAAGAGACTAAGGCTTAAAGAATAAGAGATTATATACATTTTGAAGGCAATCATAAGCACTTTCCCACTGCTGAAATGGGCTTAAATTGGGATGAGCTCTGGGGTCTTTGCCTGAAACAAAATATTTGATCATTGAGAACAATATTGATCAGAGAAAACTAACTCATGATGTAGTAAAGTACCGTGGCTTATGATGAAATTAGCAAGAAGAAAGCACATAACAAGGGTCAGTGCAAAGCTTCTCATTCTACCAATCTTGTATAGAAATCCGAAGTCCTGAAAGTCTTTTGACAGTGCAGATGCAGATTTATATATAACTGGAGGTGGTAATACTGAGGTCTGAAGAAAATTACGAGAAAAACGGATCCAAATTGGTGGCATATACTGAGAGTATATGCAGTCTAATCCTGAGAAAACTAAGTAGAAACAAGAAGAGGAGAAGATAAACATAGTAATTTGCTATTGACAGGGAACAAACAGCCTTAGTTATGGCCTTGATCAGTATTCTATGGCATTTTAGAATCAGTGAGACGGCAGTTGGACAAACAATAACAAGGAGAAATTGACAAAAAATTGTTTATTAAATACGAGAGCCTATCTAGAGACAAAAGTAAATAATGCGGCTGAAAATGGACGTAATCTAACACCGCAGTTTTTGATATAATTCTACTAAGTAATACAGTTGAGAACGAACATAATCTAACACTGCAGTCCTTGATATAATTCTATGTACTATCTGAATTCCGAAATGAATTTGCAAGGGAATTGAAGTAGAAGAGTGAGGGATAATTTTTTCTAATATAAAGGATTATAGGTTTGCATCACTAATAAGAAAAACTATAGAAGAGAAAGAAAAAAAAACCTTCAAATATTAATGATTTATGAAAAGACTTGCCTGCAAACAAAATTAATGGGACATTTATTAGTCCGTATGTTTTTAATTTGAGTGCATAAAAGTTTCGTAATAAACTTGTCTACAATGACTTACACCTGCAACTTAATTTGAAAACCTTTTTACCACTAAAAGTGAAAATTTTCAGAAAAAAAAGAACTGGTCATGAACTAGGGGTTTTGCATAAAAATACTTTAAACTACTTTTATTAGTGAAAAACATCATAAAATTTCAATCCAGCAGAACACACAAATAACTATTGAAAGAGTACCCATGAATCAAGTATCATAAAATTTAGTTATACTTTATAAAATTGCTATGGAATTTTTAGATAAAGTCACTTAATGATCTTGAATATTACATCATTGTTAGAAAATTACTAATGAAATTGCAAACATTATCATGAAACTACCTTAGTTTTTCTGCTAGCATGTGACCTCTTTCTGGGAATTTGAAAATTATAACATTTTCCTCTAATAAAAATATTTTACGCTAGTTTGACAGAAAAATCCCTAATGAAACTTACCCTTGAAAAGTACCCTTCTTTGTTCATGTAACAATGTGCTATACTCGAAGGAACAATTGACAGAATCTTTGAAATCTTGCATCCTCATCATTAACAACCAATATTGGGGAGGAAACATAATCCAAAAAGTTAAGGATGATCACAACCGTACCTTAGTCCTCTCTTTGCAGCGAGCATTTCAAGAAACCGTTGCACTCTAAGCTCCCTTTGAACTCTCAGTCCAGACCACCAACTATAAAACCACATCTCCTCCATCTCCAACCTCAACAGCCACCGCAACCCGCAACCGCCATCACCATGGCCAGCGAAAACACCCGTGCCGTCTTCTCAGCCCTCGACAACGCCAAGACTCAACTCTACCACTTCAAGGCCATAGTCATCGCTGGTATGGGCTTCTTCACCGATGCCTATGACCTCTTCTGCATCACCGCTGTCACCAAACTCATCGGTCGTCTCTACTACTATGACCCTTCCACTGGCGCCCCTGGCAAGCTCCCACCCAAGTACAACGACGCCATCACCGGCGTCGCTCTAATTGGGACCCTCGTCGGCCAGCTCTTCTTTGGGTGGCTCGGAGACCGCCTCGGTCGCAAGAAAGTCTACGGAATTACCCTCGTCACCATGGTAGTCTTGAAACATGGGTTTCGATTTCCCTCTGTCTCGTATGCAAGTAGTCTCGTAAATTTTGTCTCCCAAGATCGCGAGTTCGTAAATCAATAAATCATCCTGAAACTTCGTCAACATAGAAAGAAACTTACTTACTTTTAGAGCATAAAATTCAAAAGAGATCACTTTCTTTACCCCCACAAAACTTCATGAAAAGTTCAGATTTTATCGAAACACTGCATGCAATAGGGTGATCTATACTAGTAGAAAGTTTGGAAATTCTAACTAGTCTGTTTATGCTGCAAACCATCCCTGCGCATTTCATTTTCAAATGATATTGAAAACTCTAACAGGTCGGCTGTGCATTGGCCTCCGGCTTGTCCTTCGGCTCGTCAGCAAAGTCGGTCGTCTATACGCTCTGCTTCTTCCGATTCTGGCCTTGGGTTTCGTATTGGCGGTACTCTACCGCTTAATTATGTCGAGTACGCCTATGCCAGAAGACTCGAGAGGTTAATCGAGGCAGTGTTTGCGATGCAGGGAGTGGGGATTCTATTTGCCGGAGCAGTGGCAATGGCCGTGTCAAAGATATTTCTTGCGGTGTATCCGGCCCAGCCGTTTAAGACTGCGGAAATTCTGTCGACTCAACCGGAGGGGGATTTTGTGTGGAGGATTGTGCTTATGTTTGGAGCTCTGCCGGCGGCGTTGACTTATTATTGGAGGATGAAGATGCCTGAGACTGCAAGGTACGTTACGTAACACGATTCTCCTACCAAGAAGCTTGCTGAGCACTGTTAGTTTCACACTATATATCTAAAAATTAATCAAACTCTTACAAGGTTCACTGCCCTGGTGGGCGCGGGGTGAGGTCCTCGCACCGACAACCTTGACGACGACGACGACAGCGCACCAACAGGCCGGCGGCAAGCCGCGACCACAACCGCCCCTACGACCGGCCTCTTCTCGTCCGAATTCTTCCAGCGCCACGGGCTCCACCTCCTCGGCACCTCCACGACGTGGTTCCTCCTCGACATCGCCTTCTACACCGGGAACCTCACCCAGAAGGACATCATCCCGGCCACCGGCCTCCTCCCCAAAGCCTCCACCATGAACGCCATCCAGGAAGTCTTCCACATCTCCCGCGCCATGTTCCTGTTCGCCCTCTTCGCCACCGTCCCGGGCTACTGGTTCACCGTCTTCCTCATCGACCGGGTCGGCCGCTTCATCATCCAGCTCGGCGGCTTCCTCCTCATGTCCGTCTTCATGGCCATCATCGGGATCAAGTACACCCAGCTCCGCGGCGTAGAGTGCAAGGCCTGCGACAGGGGGTTCAAGGACGGGCACCCGGCGCAGTTCGCCGTGCTGTACGGGCTCACGTTCTTCTTCGCGAACTTCGGGCCGAACGCGACGACGTTCATCGTGCCGGCGGAGATATTCCCGGCGAGGTTCAGGTCGACGTGCGATCGTGGGGGCGTTCTTCGTGCAGAGGTTGACGCTGGATCAGAAAGATGGGCAGATTAAGAAGGTGATCATCGCGCTCGCGGTGGTCAACTTTCTGGGGTTTTTGTTTACGTTTCTGGTGCCGGAGACGAAGGGGAAGTCGCTGGAGGAGATCTCTGGGGACGATAAGATCCTCGAAGGGCGTCAAGCGGAGACGGCTTGATGACGGTTGATTTGGTTGCGTGTTGTGTTGAACAAAATTATAAACTCTTGTGTTTTATTAGAGTCAGTCCGTGGTTTAGATGCAAGCTACGTGTTGTTTCGGAGCTTGCCTCGTTCTGTTTTGAGTTTTGGACTGTGCTATATGATCTCATGTCCTAATTGTATGAGCTGTCGTATTATGAAATAATAAATGTCTCCCTGAATGCAATATTTTCGTTGTGTTTGGATATTATTATTGCCACGAAACATTTTTTTTTTTTGTGAACCACAAGTATCCCACAAAATAATCTTTGCAGGAATTGTGATTCATCGCCAGGATATATATAACTAACATCGTACCTCAATAAATTAAATTTACTTCCCCTTTTAACTTGGGATAAATTCCAAAATTGAAGTCACTCGATAAAATGCCGCGTAATTATCATTGAGAAGGTAAACTCTCTACTGCATAATGGCTGCTAACTAGTCAAACTATGACTAGCTTTAGAAACGAATGGGTTTAAAGCAAATTTCCCTTCTCTAGGCAAAGAATCTGAAATATAAAGGAGAGGGAATCCAAACTTAAAAAAAAAAA